CCACCCGTCAATTATTTTAACCCAGGCCAGTTGAATGCCGATTTGCGAAAGCTCGCTGTAAATATGGTGCCATATCCAAAACTCCACTTCATGCTGACTGGCTTCGCTCCACTCGTATCGCGAGCTAACAAATCTTTCAGCGGCCTTACCGTGACAGAATTGGCGCATCAAATGTTCGACCCACGGAACGTTATGGCCGCATGCGATACGCGAAACGGAAGGTATAAATAAAAACAGGCATCTCAATTTTCTATCCGAGGATTGCATTTTCACCGACACTTTTTTAACTATTCAGATTCGCGAACTGTTCCATCTACTCGACGTGTTTATTATCGATTAAAGACAATTCTCACCATTTTTAGATGAACATTGTTAAATGACAATTTGGGACTCGTTATACTCACGTTACAACTATATTTTCCTTGCAATATAGCGATGCAAACATTTTCTTCCTACGTACATAATAATAATAATAATAATAATAATAATAATAATAATAATAATAATAATAATAATAATAATAATAATAATAACAATAACAACAACGACGACGACGACGACGACGACGACCACAACGACAACAACAACAATAATAATAATACGTAGTATCGATTCGATCCAATGATTAACGGGCAAATTCATAAATCGTCGATTTTCCGTGCCGTTTTCAAACACCTTTTCACTTATTATCGACATTTTGACGAATCTTTAAACGGAATGTAGCCCGATAATATGGACTTTCTGTGAAATTGAATCCGCTGCTGCTGTTGCTGCTACCGTTGCTGTTCCGCGATCGTACAATTGTTGACGAAATTTTTATTCCACTCTCTTCGTACCTTTAAGCTGCCTAAACAAACTTTTAATTCTATTACCACGACCCACGGGCCACTGACCATCGGCATTATTTATTTCATATCGATACGTTAAATTTAATTTACCGATCAAGCTTACGCGTATTCCCTTGTTAAGAAAATTTGCCCCTCCCTTGCTCATAGTAACACAAAATCTACGATTGTTTTTCTCGGTTTCATAAAGTTCAAAACAACATTTATCAATGTTCTTATCAATACAACACTGAGCACTGAGCAACGTAAAACTATACGTCACCATTAATTCTAAATACAATACAAGCTATATTAAAATTGCACGTATTCTCAAATCAATAATTTATCTCATCGTCTCATATTTGACGAAATAAGCATTAACGGTCCCAAATTATTCTATCAGATCTACAAGACATAATAATAATAATAATAATAATAATAATAATAATAATAATAATAATAATAATAATAATAATAATAATAACAACAATAACAATAATAATAATATTGTTAAAAAAACAAAACGCATGCTACTGCTTGTGATTCTTGTGAATTATCGTTATTCTTGTGAAAAAAAAAAAAATGATTCCCTAAAATTGATTTCGATTGGATTTTGAAGTTTTTCTTTTTAATGAGCATCGGAGATATTATAACACAGTTGAGTAGAATTTGGACTCGCATATGAAGTTTTTTTCTTTTTTTTTTTTTTTTTTTTTTTTTTTTTTTTATAGAGAAATTCGTTATAATATAAATGCGAATAATAAATATAACGAAGTGAATGTTTAATGAATAAAAATTTATCGATACGTTAAATGATTCACGGCACGTATGACCATCGAATCGATTAGATATCTGACGGTCGCAGCGGTTTTCCGTGGTCTGATGTCCATGCGAGATGTTGACGACGAGATGCTCACCATCCAAAATAAAAACAGCTCGTACTTCGTCGATTGGCTACCGAACAATGTTCAAACGGCAGTGTGTGACATTCCTCCGACGGGTCTCCAGATCTCCGGCACCTTCCTCGGCAACAACACCGTCATCCATGAGATTTTCAAGCGCATTTGCACACAGTTTACCCTGATGTTCAAAAGGAAGGCCTTTTTGCATTGGTTCACAGCCGAGGGCATGGAAGAGAATGAATTTACCGACGCTCACTCCGATCTCCTCGACCTCATCTCCGAATATCAGCAGTACGAATCGTTCGATACGACAAAAAGTATGATTAATGATGATAGCGACAATGAGGAAGAAGCCGCCGAGGATTGATAGAAATATTCATTTCACAAGAACGAATAAATTTTTTAATACATTTTATCGAGAAATAAATTATTTTTATGATATCCTCTTACAAAATTTATTTCTTACGATTATTTTTTATACGTGAGATTTAAAAAATTATTTACATATTTAAACTTTTAAACTTCGTCGCGTCAATTCATATTACAAGGTGAACAATTATTTTATTATACATATATTTTAAATTATAAAATATATGTATACTTTTAACAAGCAGTAATGTTGCGTGTTGGTATGTATATTTTTTTAATAAATTTGGTACTTTTATGTAAATTTTCAAATTATTTAATTATCACTCCTTGATAGTCCTTGGAGAATAGCTAAACATACAAATTGAAATTATGTTAATACAACGCATAAATTTCTTTATTTACATTTTTTTAATTCTTTTAAATTGCGCGTGCGAGTATGAGTGCGCGTGTGAGATTATCGGATGAGTAATTATAGTATTATGCACGCATGTAGTTTTAATAATAATTAATAGTTAAGATTATATGAAATGCAACTAGTATATTGAGGGCATACATATCATCCAAGAAGTTAACATTTCAATTTCACAAAGAGAAATACAATTTCAAGGCCACTGTAATAAGTTTGAAAACTATATTGTACTGTAAATTTAAGGAAATTAATACCGATAATCAAATAATAACAGTTCCACCTTTTGTATTTTGTTGGAAAGAAACGGGACAGTAGAGGATTCACATAAAAATACATAAAAAATTTTCTTCCGACACATATTTATTTCTTATCTTAAGCTCTTGATGTAGCAGCATAGATTATTATTATGTTACTATCAACGTTACGTAACAATCTGCATGCTTACATAAATTATATGATAAAAAATTATAAGAAATTATCTACAGAGGAACTTTGAATGCTTTGAATTATATAATTTCATCAAATTTATACATTTTATTTAATATAATACTGTAGGAATAAGTAGTTTAACCCTTGTGTGGCTAACCTTTGATGCTAAATTAGGCTCATTCATCTATATGCACAAAATTCTTTTTTTTTTTTTACCCTTGGTGTTTCTACTTTATGCAAATATTGATATTTTAGAAGTTGTTACAAGAAAAAGTGTATCGAATTACGTGTAGAAGTAAAATCGTCGAGCAATATGCTCGTTTGATTTTATTCTATTTCATTTTTTAAATAATGTTTGTAGCTTCAAAAAACTCGGTAGATTCTTTTGTAACGTAATAATATAATTAATAATATCTTCATATTGCTTCTTCATTAATTCGAGGATATAATTAATTCAATTTTGGAAATTATTTAGTAATTATCTAGATTATTATTTTAATAAGGATTCTATGTAAATTTATACTTTACATTTATTTTAACTTTAATTAGAAATTTAGTCGAATGAGTTTCAATAATCAACAAAATGGAATTTCGAGCGAGAGAGTGAGAGAGAGAGAGAGAGAGAGTGAGGGGGGGAGGAAAGAAGAAGTCTCATTGTCATATAAAATGTGAATTCTATGGTTAATTTTTGTTATGTTGAAAATTATGATAACAAAAGAGTTGTTCGCCGACCGTTGTGATTTTGTGGTTATACACAAGATTTCCCATTTTCCAGAATTTTTCCGAGTATCCAAGCAATCAATCTATTGAGATGGGCTTAATCTAGCACCCGTGATACAGCACGAGCGTCCTCATAATTAATTTCTTATTTATCATAATATTTATTAATTTATTAAAACGTCGATCTGGAAACTCGATCTTCGAGAGTCTTGTTAAAAAATTTATAATATGGATAAATAATGAAACGGAAGAAAATATTAGATTTATAGATTCGCATAAAATAATTTAAACATTTATAAAAGTAATGACTTGGAAATAGATTTTATTTAATAAAATACATCACGTTGATATTTTAAGCGAAATACTGTTTAACATTTTTTTTATTTTTTTTTAGTAGCAGTGGTAGCAGTAATAGTAGTAGTAGTAGTAGTAGTAGTAGTAGTAGTAGTAGTAGTAATAGTGATAGCGCTGTGTAGTAATAAAGATAAGAATCAATTTAAGGAAGAAGTTACGAAAAATGTTCGAATAAGCTATCAATAATTCTATAAAATCGTAAATAAATTAATAATTTTGATTGCTAAATTATGCTAAAATTATTTAGCATAAATTTTAGTACCAATATTTTTTATTATTTATGCATCTATAACGATATAAAGTCATATCAATTTATGTGTGTAAATAAATTTCAGAACGAATATAATCAACACGAGTCTCCAGTAGTTATGTTTCATTCGTCTAAATAAATATATTAATTACATATGTGCTTTCATCCGAAATATTATAATTAGAAACTTTAAATAAAAATAATATATAAAAAAAAAAAAAATATTTATATATATATATATATATATATATATATATATATATATATATATATATATGAATACCTTTGGTTTGACAATTTTATTATATTTTACTTTTTTGAATTAATTTTAATATTTTAAAATACAGCATAGTGTATAAATATATTAGATATTCTTTTTATATTATAAAATAAAATTTGTACGTATGAAATTCTGTAAAACTGCATAGTTTTATTCTATTAGCATATATTATTTATTTTATAATACCTGATCCGCTATTTAATTAAAAAATAACTATATAAAACAATAATTAGAGATTTATAATTTATTGCATACAATATGATGTTTATATGATGTTCTTTTTATTAGTGAATTACACGATTGTATATAAGTAATATTAATTTTTAATTTTAATTAGTTTATTTTTATCCATCATATATCAAATTTATGCATATAAAAAGAATAAGAAAATGCATTTTAAATTGTTTACATATTATTTTATAATCTGAATTAGAAATTAGTAGTGAACCGTTGTATAGTATAGAAAAAATATGAAAAATATTATTTTGTTCCATTTTTAATCATGACTTTTTAATTTTATATGGGGAAATATGTTACTTCAAGCGTTTAAAATATTGCACAGGGTATACTTAATTAAATGTAATGCTTGATTAATTTTATAATATGTATATTAAGTCTAACAAATTACAAATTAAATACAGATTAATATTTAAAATTATAATATTTTCGTAATTTAATGATATAATATACGAGGCGCGCATTCCGATTTTAAAGTGTAAATTATAAACTTAAATATTTGCATATATTAAAGATCTTATTACATATTTTGTTGGCCAATTTTGTATTGGCAGTTGTGATGACGAAAAAATACAGCTGAAATTGATTAGAAGAGCACGAGGTCGACGAATTATCCGTTTTCTATCTACAATGTTTTGTTACTAAATCTCACATACTATCCGGTCATCTTGTATTATTGTGATTTTTCAATAGAAGATTCTTTTTCACTTCATTTGACATTATTTATCCTTACTTTATGGGACCTTTTATTTCTTGTTTGAACAAAATTTAATAACACATTGTATTTTCCATAATATAAGCAATTTAAATAGAATATTGACGTCCTATGTAATATGTCGCATTAATATTGTAAACAAGAATATTATAAAATCTTATAATGTACATATTATGCATTATAGTATAGTATTTTTAATTTATTTTTAAAATATTGTGGAAACATAAATATTATTAGTCTTTTAAGAGAGAAAATGAAAAATATTTTTAAATAAAGATTCTACTTTTAATAATGCATATAAAACGTGCCATTGAATAGTTTCAAATATATTTGTATAAGTTATTAAAAGGAACCTTTTTATAAAACAGTGACTTTAATGAGTTGTCGATGATAAATCAACAAAGTCAAATTAATTATAAAAAAAGGAAAAAAAAAAAGCATATTTATTTTTATTTTAATACTCATTAATATTTAACATACACACCATTCATATACATAAGATACGATGATGAAGGCTCATCAATCTCTTTTTCCTTTTTTTTTTTTTAAATAAAAACAAAATATTGTAATATTTACAAAAATTAAAATATATACAATTATTATGTTATTATAAACGAAATTAATTTAAAAAATTTATTTCAGTTCATTGGTTAATTAAATTTAGGCATAAATGACTACTTTGAAATTTCCAAAATATTTTATAAGTATTTTTAACTAAAAAGAAAAATTTAGCTATTTCGTTTTAAAAGTGTTATTTTGATGTTTAACAATTATTGATTAGTTAATTATTATGTTAATAATTAGCGTCATCTTAGCGTTTCTTAAAACAAAATACGTATATTTTTCACTTATAAGAATCCTATAGTTTATAAGTAAGTAGTTTTTATTTAACTTAATTACAAAATATTCATAAATTCGCGTAAAAAATATTTTGAAATTATATAAATTTAAGATATCATTAATCTTTTATTGTACAGTCAATATTTTAAAAGTTCACAAATCATATTTTAATTTCTAATTTAATACGTAGTAATTTCTTAAAATTGTAAAGAAAATAAAAAAAATTTTATTACAAAACGTAATCAAGTTCATATCTAATGTATTGATTCTTTGGATCATTCATTATTCTTGGGTATCCAGCGACAAGAGCATCTTGACCTCCAATATATAGTGAATTATAAATTTTCCAATATACATCGCGTACTTTTCTTGCAGGATGAAATAATCCCTAAAGAAGTAATTTTTATTATGCAATTGTATATATTTATTTTACTCTAGAATATATTAAAAAAAAAAAAAAAAAAAAAAAAAAAAAAACCCTAGCAAACAAACAAAGAAAAACGAAAAGAAGTAGATAGACGTACCTGTAAGGCATATTGAAGAATTTTAATTGGACCTAATGAAACTCGTAATCCATCGACAGCATCCATAAATGCTTGTACCAAATGTGGTGACGTTTCGAAAACATTTGGCCACACGTAATTCAATAAATGAATAAGTGCATCTTCGCAACCAAAACCATGAACCCCTAAAGCCATGTGCTTAATAGCTGCGCAAGCCGTTTGTCTGTGAACCAGATCTCTGTCCAAAGAGAAAAAAAAATCAATATCGATTGCACATGTAATTACTTAGTATTATAATTTAATGTGATAATTTACGAACCTATCCATTAATGCATCTTCAAGTAATGGACTGACTGCGTAAATGTAATCCTTACCCATTTCTCCAATATATTCGAATAGGAAGGATAGTGACTTAAGAACACCATTTTGTACATTAAGTTCTGGAACCCTGTACTCGTTCATGAGCGCCGGTAATACTGTAAAAGGACTACAAGTTTCTGCTACAATAGCAATAGCCACAGTTGTGCATACACGATTTTGACGTTCTTGGACTTTGAGGTTATTTAATAAAGTTGCTAAAACATCGTGAGGTCTGTAGGGAATAAAATTAATTTTATTTAAAAAAAATTTTATTTAAAAGTAAAAATTTTATAAAAGAAAATTGTCGTTAAAATTTACCCAATAGCTTTTGCTATGTATCCAAATGTGTTTACCGTTGCTCGCCTAATAGCCTTTTTATGTGCTTTTAACAATTCCAGAAGTTCGAAACAAATTCTCATCCATTCTCGAGCTGATACATATTCGGGTCCTCTGTCTGCTATCCTACCAACTAAGTCGATACAATTTTCTTGTACCTTAAGGACAAAGAATATATATATGATAATGTTATTCGCTTAAATGTTATAGAGACAAAAAGATTTATCACTTACTTTTTCGTGTCTGTTTTTCAAAATTGGTGTTAGTCTAGGGAGTAAATCTTTAATTGGTGGTGTCATTTTTGTCATACCAATTACATTTACAATGGCTTTTAAGGCTCCTAATATACTACCCAATACCTCTGGATATTCTTCACCCAAGTACTCATAAAGTACAACTCCCAAATGTCCCATAAGTTTTTCCTGTCGTTTATTAAGAAAAGAGATTTTTTTATTTTTTTTTTTAACAAATATAAGTTACGAAAAAATTTATAATATACATTACCTCTTGACAGGTTTTCATAACAATAGCAATCCTCGAAATAAGATCGGCAGCTTGTTGTCTGACTTTTGCCGATTTGTTATTTAGTCTCCATAATATTGTACCACATATTTGAGGTAAATATGCTTTAACTCTTTTACCTAAGGTGTTTACAATTGTACCAAAACCATTGAGCATTACTACGTCCTAAAAGTAAACAATAATATTATACAATTTCCATATTTCATTCGATATTCAATATTTCGTCTTAGTATGTTGAAACTCACCTCTGTTGTCTGTTCTTGGAAAGCATAAAGAATGCCGTCTATAAGTTGTTCCTCAAGCCGCGAATCGACATCGGCAGCTCCCAAATTGCCCATAATTTTTTCTATGGTTTCCATAACCATTTTTCTATATTGTTCATTTTCATCTTTTAGATCATCAACGACTCTATTAATGATTTCTGAAGAGCCAACTTTGTTGGCAATTTCTACAGTTGTATCAACGAGCTATTATAACGTCATTAATTACATTACATTAATTGAATACTCACTCATAAAGATATAATTATAAATTTTGAATTAGTTTTGGATTTGCTTACTTGTCTATAATTCCTACGATCCAAAGCCATTCTATGATTCCAAAAATGCTTAAAGAAATGTGGTAAAATTTCATCCTTAATGTATTGAGCTTCGACACCATCTGTCCCACAACACTGCTTCACTACCTACATTACAAACAATTGTTAATATAAGAATTAGGTAATACTTATAAATGTACTTATTTAATTAAAAAATATATTTAAGATATTACCTTCAATACAATTTTTTTCATTTCTTCATCGGGTGACTGAAATTCTCGAATTAGAATCAGCATTACTTCACGAGTATAATAATTTGCGTATTCGGCATCCATAAGTGGAATTAAATACCCAATGGCTTTTAAAAAGGCAGCGAGACCTTTACCTCTATGGTTACGAATACCTTTCCAAAGAGGTTTTAGGACTGAATCGAAACTTTCAATACCATATGGGGTGGCAGCTTCGGCTAAGGCTGCTATTGCCAAAGCTGTGATCGTTCGAACTTTTTGTTGTTCATCAACCAAACCTGAAGCCAAGAAATCCAATCCAATCCAATTAATCAACACGCCCACACACGCGTATATAAATATGTGCATATATAATGCAATGAAAAATAATAAATAATAAATAACGTACCGTGTTCAATAATTTCCACTAAACTTTTTAAATGTGGTAATATAGCGCATCCCATTAGAATAGCGATTTGTTGAACAATTTTAATACCAGTGTGACGTGCTTGCCAAGATTTTTTACTTCTACATACAGCTTTGAGAAAAGGTAAAAGAGAAGGAATACCTAAAGCTGAAGCAACAACAGCAAACGCTCTAGCTGTTGTGTTTCTTACGTATTCATCGATATTGTCAATGTCAGGTCTCATTGTTGAAATCATAGTAGCTAAGCCAGCCGCTTTGGCTAAATTTGAAATGATTTCTCTACCCTCTACACGAGCATAGTAGTCTTCGTCAATCAATAAGGGTTCAATCACAACGAGAATCTGTGATTAAAGAAAAATTTTTATTTTAAATCGAAGCTTTCAAGTCCAATGCAAGTTCAATACAATTAAATTATAATTATGTTTCCTGTATTGTTAAACTTACCTTATGCACATAAGGTCTAACCAAATCATCTAATTTATATAAGATGCGATCAATAACTTTAACGAGTAAATGTCTTTCCTGATCTTCCAAGGTAGGTGACATAAGGAGAGGTAAAATTTGATTGAACAGTGGCCCAGCACCAAATTCTCTAGCCTTATCAGTTATCTGTCTTAAAGCAGCCTTACGCATTGGTGGTGTTCCATTTTTAATTTTTAATAACAACTTCATAATTTTCCTCTCTTTTTGCTCTTCAGGGCTAAGTGATTCTTCGTCTACGTCCACTAATAATTTATCAAAATATTGGGCATCTTCTGGCTTCATAAAGGGTAAATTTCCTTTTGGTTGATTGTCGATTAATTTGGCATTTTTATCTTCTTGCTGAATGAAAAAGCCTTGTGGTGTGCCAGCGATTGGTGTTGGTGTGGCCGTTAACTTTCTCGCCGGTGTTCTTATGGGTACATAACCTGTATGAAAATATATTAATTGCGCTTATCATGTCAAAATGGCTTTTAAAAATAAATTTACATGAAGATAAAATTATAAATCTAAATATTACCGGCGGGAGGTTGTAATACTTTATAACCGGGTGGGAACATTGCATCTAATTCATCATCCGAGAATGGTCTGTTTCTCTCATCTATTTCTCTTTCCCAACGATAAGCTTGCAATTGTTCTGGTGTCATTGACATCAAATGTCCTGGTGTAGGAGTGGCCATTCCCATGGCTTTTGGACCCGTAGGGGTTGTACCACTAGGAGTCAAAATCGACGTCTGGTGTGGCGTAGTAAGTGGTGTTGCCGGGGTTTGGGGGGTCATAGACCCAGGTGTTTGAGTGGATGGAGTTTCATCCCAACGACTTCTCCGCTTACTGGCTGATGGCGTTGGGGTCTCTTGAATGAGATCTCCAGCGACTCTATCAGTTCTTGGAGTTTCAGCCCAGCCACTACCATGACCAGGGGTTTCTATTTAAATACAAATACATTTTTTTTTTTTTTTTTTTTATATTTATATATTATCATAAGTTGTATAAATAAAAAATTAATTTTAAATTTATTACCTCTTTCTGTTTTTGGGGTTTCATCCCATCTATTCCTACGACTAGAAACAACCTTTTCATGTGGTGTTTCTCTACCAGGAGTAGCGGCACCTGGGGTTGCATGGCCAGGCGTTGCATCCCACATTCTAGTACTAACGCCTGGTGTGGCCCCTGGCGTTTCACCCCCCTTTCCATGACCTGGGGTTTCATCCCATCGAACCGCAGCGGGTGTGACCTAGATGATCATGACAGTTTTATTTTTTAAAGTTTTTTAATTCATTATTGTACTTTACTATTTAAAATATTATTATGAATATATGAATTTTACATCGGCAGTATCCCAGGAAGTTGGTGTAGCAATTGTACCAATAGTTGGTTTCTTAGGTGTAGGTGTATCATCTGTTTGATCCCAACGTCCACGTTTTTTTGGTGCTGGTTTTGGTTCTCCATTAGTTTTTAATGTTCCATCTTTCGCTTTTTCAGCTATTTTTTTACGTAACTATGCAGAAAGTAAAGTAAAAAATTATTTATAAATATATATCCAATTTAATAAAATTTTCTTGTTCAAAATTTTAATTTTACTTCTGATTCTTCTCCTTTTAACAGTTGTTCTTTCATAATCTCTGTATATGTCCTTGAACCAACATCTGGAGTTTTTCCACCTGCAATCACGAAACAAAGGTCACGCAAAGCGTAACTATTAGCAATTTTAACATAGAACATGATAATATTTTTGTTTTATATGACTGATTTTCCTAATCGAATTGACATGAATCTCTAAATCAATATGCCTTTAGAATATGTTAGCAATATTCTATGATTAGCTACTGAATTAACTTGAAGCTGTTACCCATTTGAAAAATACAATAATATTGTGGACAAAAGTGAATTCTAACTTAAATTGTAAAACAGGTAATAGAGTTGCATCAGTAGCTGGCATACAATATACGTACGTGGAATTTTGATGCCATAGGGAGCACTGTCCTGCTCATGTCATCCAGATTGTAAAATACTTGACATCTAAAAATCAATTCTGATCTCGTTATTAATAATATATGCACTCAAACCATTCATACTGATTTATGGGGTTATCTTTTAAACCTGTATGACAAGATAAAAAACTTAAGATTTTAGTATACATTATAAATATATAAAAAATAAATATAAATACTCGTATTATTTTTGTTAAAATAATTTATAATAATTGTTAGAAGGTTATTTGTCTATTAAACATTTTAATTATTTAGTACACTAAAGTAAATGTAGATATTGTAAACAAATTTGAATAATGCTTTTAATTATTTTAACCTATACGAACATTTTTCTTTAATATCCAAGATTTTTTAAATATAAATAATTTTACTTTAAAAAAATTTTTTTTCTATTGCGTATTATCTTTAAATTAATTCTTTTAAATTTAATTTTAAATAAATTTACTTTGATTTCATTTTGAATACAACTATAAATCCTTAATTTATCTATATTGAGATTCAAAAACCAATTGCATATTTGAATTCATGCTTACAATAATATTGCACTGGAGATATTGTTCATTTATGAATATTATAATACTATATAAAAGTTTTATCTTTATCATTGAATAAACAGGTTTAATAAGAGGGCTTTTACAACTTAGAGTCGTATAACCTTCGACTTAGTATCCAGGGAAAGTTGATGATTCCAAATGCGCAGACCGACACTAAGATTGGAAAAAAACGCAGGAATTAGTATGTATTTGGAAGAAACACATGCACACAATTCATTCAAACCAATGTTTAACAACTACATACATTCCTCTCCTTATCATCCAACTGCGTTATAACTACCAACACTATGTAGTTTATGTTAGGTTGCTTCAATATAAGTTATACATCTTTCTGATGTGATCAAAGACGAGTACAATGCTTTTTGATAAATAAAATATTTTAAATTTAATAGTCAAAATGAATTACATCAAAATTCATTTATAAAAATAATTGAAATTATAAAAATTAAATTAATTAAATATAAAATAATATAAGAAATTAAATATTTAAAAAATAATATTAATAATTAATAAAATTTCAAATTCTCCAAAAAATTGAATTTTTTATTAAATGAATATTCCAATGCTTTTATACTCATAACAGTTGTTTTACATGATTATTAACAAAATATTTATCCATGCAAGTGCTGAAATGAAAAATAAAAGATAATAAATGTAAATTCATTAATTATTTTAGCGTAAAATTTTTGTCAATTGTTTTTCTTATTTTATTATTAATGCAAATTGTATACATCCTGCAATTACATGAAAAATTTTTTGCAAATCACAAGCAAGTTAAAATATACCTTCAACTGTATAAATGAGGACTAACTAGGCTTGGGAATTTTCAAAGTAATTAAATTAAAATAATTACCTGTACTTTTTTTACAATAATAAAGTGCAATAAAAATATTACTAACCTTCTGCAAATGGATCAACACGCTCAGGAGAAATAATCATCCGTCTTCTTTTTTGTCTGTATTCATCTTCCCTATCTGCAATAGTAGGACGTCTTCTATCCGCGAAAGGATCGTAATCTTTTTCGCTCTAAGCAATTTTATAAAATCAGTATAAAATAGGAATATGTAGTTATAAAATAACATTGAATTACAAAACATTTAATTTACTGTTATTATTAAAATTATGAACTTAGCGTACCTGCGCAACATCATTGAGCAAAGCAGCTGGAGCATTGAAGCCCCTTTTATTTGTACTAAATGTACTTGGTTCATAATCCTCGTCCTACAAACAAACACAATACAAAATTTACAAAGAAATATAAATGCTCTATGGTTCCTGAACGAATACTTACATCTATCTCATCATTGGCAGCGATCGATGTAACATATCCGTCAAACTTGTTATTGGTACCGTCGTAAATATCTTGATCGTAAAATCCTGTTTTCCCTAGGGCAACTTGTTCCTCCGCGGTAGTAGTAATTTGCACGTTCTTTTTCTTTTCTTGAATGTCTCGAATCTGGGCCTCGATATCTGAAATACACAAGTTACATAAATATCGATAACTTAAGTAAAACGAAGGAGAAATTATTAAATTAGTAACTGGCAACATAATCATCCATCAATTAGGCCACATGAGAACACAAACCACAACATTACCCAAAGACTGCTTCGATACCAACACAGTTTACAAATTTTAACGGATAAAGCTCAAATTGAAAATAATAATCATAATGCTAGAGCATATATTAAATACAAGTAAAAACTTATCGAAATCTTATCCTCGGCTTACATGAAAAATTACTTGCCACTTCGACGCGTTACCATGGAAAAAAGTGGAGGAAATCTTACCTTCTCGTGTTCGTGGTATCTGATCCATCTCCATGTCTGCAGCTCCAAGATGATCTTCAAAGTATTCGATAATCTCGAAACGGCGTTCCTAGTATTGGCAACTATTAGATGAAAAAGCCACGTTGAATAAAACAATTGGGTGTGTACTTCTTTCTGAGGTAAACGTTAAAATTGAGTTAAAGCGGATCCTTCGGCATGGAAGAACATCCGCCATTTGCATTATTCTTTACAATTGCCCTCTCCACGCTCTTCTCCACGCATCAACGTAGTTGAAAAACAGTGGACAGGCAATAGTACTAAAATCGTTTAAAAATCACTTTTTCAGAGGGAATTTTCAAAGACAGTTTATGGTATTTAAAAAATCTCGTATATTAGGTGAAAATAATCGAAAAAATTCAATGCCGCATTTAAGATAGACGCCTGCACATTATTTAATGCGAAATTTCAAATTATCATATTTTAACGTATGAATTAAAACAATATTAATTATTTTTAAATTTTGTTTAAAGTTACTTTTACCGAGCAGACAATTTTCCAAATTCATTCAAACTATTAACACTATTAAACATATATTGATTACAATAAGATGGAGTAATGTCACGTAATCACAATAATAACATTGTGATTCTTCATAATTAATATACAAATAATATATTATTTTAACAATATTGAATAACGAGCGTACGGACGCTCTATAATTATATATATTCCATTTTAATCATTTTATATGACTTAAATTTTTTTATAAAATGCGA